TCAATTATTTTCGATGCCATTTTATTGGTCGGGTAAGTGGACAGCATAGTGTTTATAATAAAATGTCCAGGGAATCGGTGCTTTTAGTATGAGTTTTATTTGTTCTTCACTGTAATAATGAGTCGGTAATTTTGAGTTGGGATGGAAGCTTCTTTTGAATTGCTACGTATAATTGCTATCAGAGAAAAGTTATATAAGATATAAGATCGTTTTCGTACTACTGCTAGGAAATAAGTCCTATGTAATTTTAGTATCTTGGAATTAGAATCGCTTCCTAAAAACGTTAAAAAAATAAATTACAATTAATATTATATAAATAATTATAATACTCTCTGCAAGGGTGTACAAATAAAGGTCTTTGAAAAAAAACAACATTTTTTTTTGTTTATTCGTAATTTTTTCTTGTCATTCGCCATCGCTTTTCCTTCTTTTAGATGTTGTTGATGTACAGTTACAAGTTTTTGTATGTATATGCCTTACTTTGTACATGTCAACATTAAATATTCATGATGCTTTCGGTGTGGGAGAGAAAAAATATATAGGGAATGGGGTGGAACATGATGTTACATCTTCATACGCAGGAAAGTCGGCTACACTTTTATGCCTAAAACATTTCGTCTCCAAAAATGTTGGTATTAGTTTATTTACCGTTACACGCTCAGTTACAGCTCACACACAAACGCACAATGTGGCCAAGGGCAAGTGGGAAGAGGAGATAGAGTCATTTGGCACAGCCATTAATGTAGCCGCTAAGTGGCAATGTCATGCTAGGCTGGTCTAACTGTGCCGCCTGCCGAAAAGTATGTATATTGTGCTGGCATACATACATATATATAAATATATATATAAAAGTAAAAAAAAAAAACCTCAAAAATTGCCAACTGGAAAGGGTGCGTGCTTCCTGCTTACTGAAAGAAAGCCGATGGAGAAGTGGGCGGGCGATCTATGCATATTTCATAAGCAATTACTAAGCAATCCCCGCGAAAGGGCGTTGGTGGCTTTTAGCCATTTGTCGTTGCGTTGAGTTAGAAACAAGATATAAGAAAAGAAAAACAGCAAAAAATTAAATCGCCACTCGTCCTACTCAGATGACAAGAGACGCCCTCAAAACTGGTCCCACAAAAATGATTATTATTTTATTTTATGACAGCCCAGCACACACGATGCCTTGTTTTAGCTTTTTTTTTTTTAAGTCATTGCTTCCTATTATTTTCTTATTGAATTACCCCCAATTGCTTTGAGTTCAGTCCCCAGGAGGGTGTGAGTGCGTGTGACCTGTGTGGGTGGGAAAAAGTTCAAAGCGGCTGACAGCCTCTTCTCAAATTCCATCCATGAAACAATCCCATTAAAGTCTGATTTTGTCTTATTAAATTTTCATTGTAATGATTTTTTTCGATTGGATAAAAATGTATTGGGCCACTTGGAAAAAAGAAATTAACTGTGAAAAAGTCAAATTATGATATCAAAGAATATCACAAAAAATTCGTTGGGGTTTGTCAACAATATTTATGAGATACACATTCTTTTGCTAAATCGTTAACCAAATATCGGCTACATTAAGCTATCCAAGGGACCAGAAACACATGGCCAAATTGCAAGTTGATTATCTCGCATAGCCAGAGCCAAACAAAAGGCAACAATTATCTTAATTCCAGGTGCAAGTAATTAATGTCCTGTAAGCACATTTCAGCACAATATAACTAACGAACACTGGGACCATGACTGCGACCATGTCCATGAGTATAACGATACCATCGCACTTAATCTCCGATAAAGACGTGCGTCCTTTGTCCCTTATTCTTGGCCAAGAGTAGCAAGTGAACAACCAAATATAGATTAGGGAAAAGTTACAGACAAATCACTGTCTGCCATTCGGCAGGGCAAGGCTCTATGGTCTGAAATACATAAGGAGAAACCTATCATAGTTCCTTTTAGATGTTGCTTATACGTGTGTTGTCACCTGATTATATTTTCAATGTGCGAACTGTCAACAAGTAATTGACATGTGGGAAGGCAGGTGATAATAACATTTTTAGGTAAAAATATATTAATATTACAATTGAGTAAAACAAAAACATACTGCGGATGGTTGCAATGATCTTACAAGTTTCTATATCCCATAATTCTTTTTGTAGGAAACCAATATTTCTCGTCTTATTTTGTATGGCTAAATCGAAATCATACTTTTAGGCTTTTATACCTTTCCAATACATTGATCCCTGCTAGTAGCAATGTACAACAGAAATCGGTAAAACTTTTATGAGCTTACCAGTGAAGTTCACCTGTCCAGCATACATAACTAGAAACAGTTTTCCTTTGACTACCTTATCATACACATATGTATGTACATGTGAGTGTATAACCAGGCTACATACATATAATTTTTGGTTCGCGGAGAAACCAATTTCCTTGGCGCACTTACTGCTATTTTGGGTAATATGACCATTTTATGGCTCACGCATATGTTAGTGTGGCGGAGGTGTGCGGAGGTGCTAAAGCTAAACACGTACTAGGGAGTGCTCAGCAGTGGAAAGTAGGCAGATGAAATATGTGCACAGCAACAGCACCTGTTTTTTTAATGAAACAATCTCGGCAAATATGATATTTTGTATGCAAACATGCAAAATATTGTGTGGGCTGTATGTCGACCCAAGAAATAGGCCTAAGGGTGAAGTGAATGGTGGCGTGCGAAAAACTTGAGTCGAGGGGAGGTCCTGAAACATACATAAAAAGATAAATAACCAAATATTTGCAAAATTGGCAAGTAAACTGGATGAGTTCCAGCTAAGGTTGTCTATTCAAGAGTTTGTCAAAAAATTATAACAAATATAATATTAAACTAAAATTACTAGCAAAGATACTAAGTAATTTAAAAAAAAAGGAGCTCACAACGTTAAGAACAGCCTTTAAATTTGAAATGAACCAATTGACAGCTTCATCCTCAATAAGAAGACATTTATATACACGAATTATATGTTTGAATTTGTATTTACCACCATCCGCAAATAAACTTCTCCCCGGGTTCGCTCGCCACTCAATACTCGTTTGAGATATTGTATATCAATAATTCAATATTTATTTTCATTTCATGTCGCAATTTTCGGGCTCTTATTTTCAACTCAGCTATAAGACGTAACGAGGGAATTTAATCTTTTTTCGCTGTGCCTTTTTATTTTTTTACCTGCTGGCACTTTGCTTCCTTGTGTCGTCCTCCTCAAGCTCCCCCAATATTCCCCAATATATATTTTTTGTGCAAAGATCCGAAAATCCAATTAGTTGCCGATGGCGCTGCTGATATTTGTCATCATAGCGAAACGAATTGACAGACTAGACCTTCTCACACTGGACACTCATTGAAAATTGGTATTGAAAATTGTATTTATAAAATAAGATCTAAAAAGGAAAACAAATACATAGATAGTGCTATCATATTCCCGCTACTTTTCGCTTGTTTAATATTTGTCTGAACTTTTATTTATATATTAATAAATAATAATAACGCATATCAGGAAAAACTTTCATGGAAACTTTAGTATTTTTTTTCAAATTTGAATTTTTAAACTATCTTCTCTGCGTTAAAATCTATATAAAATGTCTAAACTCAACTTACAATCAGTACGACTTCCTCTCGCTCTACTAATTACAGCTGTGAGCCTTTATATTTCTCAGGCCTTTCGCTTTGGTCATTTATATACTTTACATGGCTTCGTCTTGTAGTCCCAGCGGAGGCCGACATTTGTACGTTTGTCCACCAATGTATCCTACGGCCATTTCCTCGTTTCTACCCTCTCCACCAGCAAAGCTGTCAACAAATTAACTGTGACGCTTATGGGGCAAACATAGGGTGGTCCAAAGGAAGGGAATTGAGACTGAGCTGGTTTAGACTGTTCAGGCAATTGGGCTCGACATGCTTGGCATGTTTTGTTGCTTAGTTTTAGGCGGGAGTGTGTGCCCAAAGGACCAAAAGTGCCCAACTGCGTATGCCCGCAAATATCGAACAATTAACTTCTCTTAAATGGCATTAAAGTACGATTTAAATATCAAGGAAATACTCTAGACATTGAGATTCCATTTCTTACCTAAATCCCATTAAACAATTTTTCCTTTAGTTTTCCCAACCAGCTTTTTAGTTATATATTTTTTTCAAGAGCATTTGTAATTCGTGCATTTAAATATACTTTTTTTTTTTTGGTTAGATTGGCTGGTCTTATAAGCGATATATATTCTTTGTATAAACAGTTCTGGTACGTGTTGTAATGATGCCGACACGTGACAAGGCGACAAGTTAGAAGAAGAAACCGGCAGCATGGCCGGGCTAAGGCGACAGACACAGCGAAAAGTAGACAAAAGGCGCTGAAACCAGATATATATTTGGGAATATTTATTATGGCAGCCTGCAAAGGTGTATAAATTTGCATGAGAAACTGGTAAGAGGAGAAGCTCTCCTCCATGTCTATATATGTACTAGATGAATGGTGTGAGGGACCTCAGAACGAGCAGAGACTGCATAAACAAATAAACAAACAATACATAAATTTTTGAGACCAACATGCTTGGGAGGGCTAAGCATGGCACATTCTTCTCCTTCCATTGTCCTTTGCCATTTCCGCCTGACGGTGTTCTTGGCTCCTTTGGCTTAGATTGCTGGAGCACCTTGACTCTACATCCTGCAACTTTGTTGTTGGGCATTGACATTGGCTGCGACACGAGTCAAAATAATAAGATATAATGACAATAATTTGGGAAGCATATGGTTGCTGCAGTATTAGCTTTCCCCCATTAAGAAAATAACCACAAATTATTTTTAGCTGTATATTTATTTACTTTTCTTTTTAAACATTGGTTTATTTATATATTTTATATCACAGTATCGATTGGGAGCACCGTCTTCTGGCAAGAACCTGAAATAGAAAATAATACATAAATCATTAAAATATAATAATAAAATATTCTTATTAATTCATAATTAAATGTAAACTTTTTTTATCTTTTATTTATAGCTGATGTCAATAAGGACAATCTTCCTGTAGAACCAAGAAAAATCGCAATTATGACAATGTTTCCAAACGTGAGTACAATATTCAAGATTATATAACTGTTTTAATATTTAAAGAACTCTTATAATGGTATGAAAACTATGAAAGAACGAGATATGCAGTAACTACAATAAAAAATCATAACTATTTAAATGACATAACTGAATAAAAACAAAACACTATTTTATTAACAATAAATAATAAATAATATCCAAATATATTTTGGTTCGAATTTTTAACGTTTCATAGATCTATTTTGACAGAATTTTGCAAATCAATATACATGTCCTTAATGTTTATATATTATTATAATCTGCCGGTCTATTACATAATTTATGCAATAAATTTAATGTCTTTGCATAAAATTAAAATGATTCCCTGATTATGCGATATAAACCAGTACAAGAAATATTAAAATGCAATTGTTGCTTAACAAATTAATAGGTTTAATTTCAACCCAGTTAAAAAAATTGTAGCTAACCCTTTTACTATTGGATAGTAGTCTTGAACAATCATTTATTTTTACCTATTTATTTTTTTCTTTAATGTTTTGGGAATATTTCAAAAATTTTAAAAAATCGGAGAATGCTCAAAAACTGGACGCAAATAAAATGTAAAATTTTTAACGGAGCAGAGAACATGGGGAAATTGAAAATACAAAAAAGAGGGTTTCCAAAGTTTTCTAAAAACTCTCTAAGAACATAGTACTAAACAAAAAGTTAAATCGTTAAATAACACTTGGCTTTTTAATCAAATTTTAAAAGATTATTTTGACTTATATTAAGTTAATTTGTACTGGTTAGAACCATTGGCCGGTTAACGCGAAACTTTTATATATACATATTTAAGTCATAAGCTATTAAATATGTATTAAAAAAAATTTTACAAATTTAAACGATTTTATAGAGGGAGATGCTACAAACAGAATGTTTTAATTTTATTCGTAGCATTTGGAAAAAATAAAAACATTTGCTTCACATATTGCTGACGTTCCCTCTGTATCACACAAATACATTTTTATCTCTATTACGAATTTAAAAGATTATTAAAATCTTAGAAAATTTAATTTAAAATTTAAAATTTTTAATTTTAGGGTATGTTTGTATTTTTCATTTTCTTTTTCCAAAACCAAAAAACAAATCATGCGAGAGAGAAATTTAAAATTAAATTTTTGTATCTAAGAATTCTTTGAGCCGTTTTATTAAATTTTTAAAACTTAAAAAAACGGCAAAACACGGCTGAGTAATTCGGAGTTAAAATCGTAGAGTCTATAATAATAATTATAGTAATAGTTATAATGTAATTATTTACACGTTTAGAAATCCGAATTTCAGTTGTATATAACCTCAAGGGATCCTTAGCTTGTAGTAATTTAAAAAAATGTTTGTTTTACTCTCAGAAAGCGTATATCTCTAACGATCATGAATCTAAATTATTTGTAATATATAAAGGGAATATACTGGCAAATTGTTTCAATTTCTTAGTTTTTTATTTGCGCTCTATATTTTCAAGGCAATTTTAAAAACAAATCCCTGAATATCTAGACTTCGCGGCAACTTTGACAGAAATGCGGTGGATAATTACTTTTCTTTCACGAAAAAATTAAACAGTCGACTAAACTGATTTAGTTATCTTCAGCAATTAGTATTTGAGTCACGGAGACGTATCCAAGCTTTAATTACTGCGTTTGGTCAAAAGGAGCTCACATCTAACCGATTTGATTTGTGGGTAAGCTCGTTTAACGCAGTGCACCTATGAGGAAGCCTTTTTGGGTTCAAATGTGCTTGTGACCGTGTGTGTGCTGAATGCGGGTGCTTTCAAAAACTTTGTAAACTGGTCAGGGATAACCCTGCCATACAGCACACACACAAAAGCAACAAATTAAACTGTTCCTATTTGCAAATGAATTGTGCGTGGCGTAATTTCGCAGGAAACTTTCCTTTCTTGGGGATAAGGCATGATAGATAGAATGGTTTGCACAAGGCGAGCACGCACACACACACACATATGTGTGTTCCTTACGCTTGAAATAAAATAAGTAGCATAATACAGAGGGCAACTTACAACGAAATTGAAATGAAAGAAAATGATTCTTTTGGAAGAAAAGAATATGCTGTCCTCTCTCTGTGGTATCTCTGCGATATCCTTTCAGTGTGCCTTGGTGTGCCGTGTCCTGGCAGACGAAACTTTTTGTGAGGGCCAGGTCCTTTCTGGCATTTCATACGCTCAATTGCTGGTGGTTAGCCGAGCCGGCAGCGTGTTCTGGTCGACAGTCAATTGAAAATGAAATTGGGAAAAGTTACCAGAAACAGAAGAGAAAACTCTTCTTCTCTATGTGTGCTAGTGTGGGAGGCGTGGGCATCGTCTTTGAGATGGAATGGGTTTGGTGTCGGTGAGGCGGGTACGTGCGGACAAGCATGCATAATGAGCAGAAGCAGCAGGGAGCTCACAGCCACGATCCTTTTGCCTCTCCAAACGTCCGTTCGTCCTATATGCGGGCTACCTTTGCAAATGAATACTAAAGAGACGCGTAAAAGTATGCAGCACCGAGCAGCAAACAGCTACGTGCCTGATTCACGTTGTCCCCTCCCTACTTTAAAACATCCTTTCCCCCAAAGAGCTTCTGTTTTATGAATACTTTTAGCTGCTCCCTAAAATAAAGGACGATAAGTAGCTTTGTTTGGCGAAAACTTTATCGGTGGACACGTCATACTGCCGGCAATTTTTATAGATTTCGTTTCGAGTGCATTTGCTTGTTGCACTAACTACGCAGGTTACCCTTACTCTTTTCCTTGCGTTGGAAATTTTTTTACGATTTTTCTAGACACTACAATTCACTTTGTGACAGATTGTTGAAGATTGATTTTGGGGTGCGGGAGTCTAAAATATTTTAGCAAAAAAATGGAATGGTGTGCAAAAAGTGTTGGCAAAGCTAAAATCTGCAGATATTGTTTCTTTAGCTCAGTAGTCCATATATTAAAATATACGAAAAAAAAAGTTAAACTTAGTTTTTGGAAGCAAAAAATAAGCGTAATATTATTTGCCCGTTTAATATGTTAAAATTCTTTTTTGTAAAATATATATTCTTATTTTTGAATGCTCTATAAATAGGGTTTTTGGCATAATCTAAGATAAATTGATCAAAAATACTTACTTTTCATTAAAAATAGCATCCAGCTTTCTTATCAATTGTTTAAATTCGTTGAGGATTTTAATGACCACATCTGAAAATGGATACAACAAATAAGTCTTTAAATAAAAGTGTCAGAAAATAACGAAAGGCGCTATGTATAATAAACTAATATAGGTTTCATAATTTATTTTCTTGTTTTTCATGTTTTGTTGGCGATTTTACTTGCATAATGTTGATTGGTAGTGACACCGGAGACATTTTAACTTTTTCAGCAAAAAATATATTCAATGAAATTGAGTATTTCATTTTCCGTTTAATTTCTTTGTTTTGGATATTTTATAGAATTTGAATTTTAGTCTATGCTTTTTTTTTTTTTTAATTAGGGATAAAGGCTTATTTTTTCTTTTTATTTGTTTTAATTTATTTATTAAGAAGAAATAAATACTTTTTTTTATTTTTTGTTTTACTAAATATCATCTTAACTTTTTTATAAAAAAAGGTTTTTTTACTCCCCACTTTTTAAACTTATATATTATTGTTTACACATTCTTAAACACACAAAACAGAAAGATTGGTGATCTCAGAGACTTTATAGGTGGCACTAACAAATATATTATACATCATTTTTAAATTTGGCACGTCTACTATTATCTTTACAAAAAAAAAAAAAAAAAAAAAAAACAGAAATTCATATTTTCAACCTAAATTTTCCGAAGAAAAAAATATTAAGTTAAGAAAACATTAAGTGGACTATTTCTAAAGTAAAACTGATATGGAAGTCATTAGAAAATAATCTTGAAATTTTATGGATACAAATTTAAATTCTTTAAATCTAATATCTTTATTATTTTTTATAAGTAGTAATTTTTATTTTTTTTGCTCATCCTTTTGAAAATACATTTTAATTAATGAAATTAACTCTTCACGGCATTTTTTAAGTGAATTTGTAATCAATAAACACACACCTGACTAATATCTAGATAAAAATGTTCTGAGACACTTCATAAAATGTGGTGCCATTTTATGACATAAAATCACTGTTTATTTTATTTCGGTCGACTTCAGACCGTCGTCGCACCATTATTTGTTCCATTTTTACAGACACTTACTTTTTGTGGCATTATTAGCAGAGCACACACACAAAAGGAATCGCACGAAAAAATTTATTATGCGACTCCAACTTCTGCGGTATCTACCAAATTGTTTCACGTTAAGCTCACATACAAATAAATAAGAATGAAACCGAAAAAAAAAAGAGGAAATTATTTCTTTCTTATGGGATACTCACATACGCAACAAATGCAGTTTTTCTGGAGGTATTTCGCCAACTCTGGTTGATTCTTCCATTTGCTTGGATTTTTTTTTTTTTTTGGCTCGTGTGTTTATGGAGTTTTTCCCACGGCGACTGTGTCGTTTACATATCGCTTGGCACTCTTCCCTTTCTCGGAGCTCCACGTTGTGCCGTCTAAACGATTTACGACACTTTTGCCACTGCTCGTCGCGCACATTGGCAATATTGTTTGTTCGCAGGCCTGGGTGTGTGTGCCTGCAGTATTAGCGTTAAACAAACCCGTACACACGCGTCGAAATACTGTTAACTTGGCACGGGCACGGTCATGGGCAACGCCAAAATGCCGCACACGTTCATTTTTATTATGTTAAATGTCTCCTGGGGCCTCCTCCAGCATTCAGCTTCCGCAACTGGTTTCATCTGCTCTGCGTTTTTTCGCTTTTGATTCAGCTTTTCTCAACTGTCACTTGGCTTGTCACATTTCACATTCACTTAGTCTTGCAGCGCGCCAAAAATTAAGCCGCCCTGTGAAATTATCAAAATCTGCTGGACAATTCGCTCGCTTCTCGCACACTTTTTGTAGGGGTTCGTTTCCTGCGTAGTTTACT